GAACATGCATGTTTGCATGTTCTCCCTGTGCTTGCGTGGGTTCTCTCTGGGTACTCCGGCTTCTTCCCACTGTCCAAAGACATGCAGCTTAGGGTGATTGGTGACTCTAAATTACCCGTAGGAGTGAATGTGTGTGTGGTTGTTTGTCTGCGTGTTGGCCCCACGATGGACCCACGACCAGTCCAGGGTGTACCCTAACCCCCCCCCCACGACTAAGTGGTATAGGAAATGAGATGAGAGACAGTCCTGAGAACAAAATGTGAGGTGGGAGTGGACATGAAAGTACAGAGAAAAATTAGCATGTTCCTGGCTACAGTACTCCACCATGTTTCCCTGTTAAAAATGAATAGTAGTTGGTGAAGCTGTGCAGATGAATTTTACTAGTATTCAGACATTTCAGCTTTCTTAAATCATCCAAGAATGAGGACGGTTAAAGTTGTACTGCACCAAAGCAAAGCATGTTGGTGAAATCAGGAAATACACAAGTGAAGAAGCAAATTCATTTCTATACAGAAAATAGCATGAAATAACTAAAATGCAGCATCACAAAACATTCATTTTTTGTTTACCACTGTGTTTTGATATGCAGCAATAAAATCAGCCTTTTGAGAAGGTTGTGGAAAAGTGCTGTGGGGAAATTAAACTACAATCATCAGCAGCAGTGCCCTCCACTGATTCAACACATATGTGACTTGTTCTGTCTTCTCCATGTTTCCATCCATCCACCCACCCCCTCCTGCAGATTATGGGTGGCCCCTGCCCTCTGACCTTTGTCCCATTTGGATCTACCTGGACGTCCTGTTCTCCACGGCGTCTATAATGCACCTGTGTGCCATCTCTCTGGATCGATACATCGCTATACGAAACCCCATCCACCACAGCCGCTTCAACTCCCACACCAAGGCCAGAATCAAGATCATGGCAGTGTGGACCATTTCAGTGGGTAAGGGCACACAAATACACACATTTGTTTTCATTCCTTGTGGGGACTTTGATGTAATTTCCTAGAGACTTTCCCTAACCCTTAACCATTCCTTTCCGTAAACCAAGTCATCACCGTGAAATTCAGCGATCCCCATGAGGAAGGCCGAGTCTCCACAATGTGAGAAATGCCAGGGCTGGAAACCACTGGTGCACAGTAACAGTTTGCAGGAGTCATCCCAGATGTAGACAAGTGGATGAGATGGATAATATGAATAAGAAGGCTTTGATGGAGACTTGGTGAGAGCTGAAGTTTATCAGATGGAGGTCAGAAGGCAGCAAGAGGAGATCTGAAGATGACAGATGAGCTTTAGAGTACAATTGGTACTGTACACTGTGGACAGAGAAGGCAGCAGGATAATTTAGGCAGATCGATTCAAAAACCTCACAGTTCAGATGCATTTTGTTTTTGAAGCCTGTATTTATAGAGTAACCCTGAAAGTGTCCTTCCACTTAATAGTGTTCGCTCAACGCATGCAGTCACACTGCAGAGCTGCTTTCACAGAAACCTTCCACACTCATAAAGGTTTTCTTAGAAAAGCAACAGTAGCACTGCGGTTGTTCAGAAAGGTGTTGCATAAATAAAGGAGCCAAACAAGTATTAAAACTATTTTAAAAGTAAGGAGTTCATCCATCATTAAATGTACTAGTTACCACTGTGCTTTTCTTGATCTTTCAAAATGTCTTCTGTGAAAGACCTGCAAGCACGAGTCAAAGTTTAAGATTCTTAACAGAACACAAGGGTTAATGCGTATGTTGTGGCACTGACAGCCCTGGGTTAGGCTTAGAGAAAGGTAACAACCTACTGAACGTAAATCATAACTCAGGTCATAATTACACTGCCCTCAAGATATATCTGACAAGCCAAATTAGTGATTTATACATTTATACATTCCTCAAAGACATGGTTGGTGTATCAGCAGTTTGGTCAGGATATATACTGGGAAGTTAATGGGGGAATGAGAACAGGTGAGCAGGTGGGCGTGGACGTCTCAGGATGAGTTACTACCTGGCCAGTTTTGAACTAAATGCTAATGTGCACTAAGATTTGCTTATTAACACTAAAGTCAAAGTACAACTGAAGCTGATGAGAAATCCTTGTTCATTGTAACAGTCTCCTCGATGAGGTCTTGCTGTTGGACAAGAGTTGTTCAGCACTGCTTTGGTTGGAAAACAGAGAGGGAGATTAAGAGATTAGCAGGACAGGCTGCTCCTCTCCAGTTGCCATTTTCATGTGTTCAAAGCACAAGTGACGTTTATGACTCGATATAATTTTTATGGAGGCGAGGGAACAGTCAGGTCCTGATAACTGGCTTTTGCCTACCTGGCTGGTATCCAGTTGCTAAGGTCAGTGGACCTAGATGAGAAGGAAATGTAACGATGGACTGTTGGAGGTAGTGGGAGGGATGAGCACAGAGCAGATTAGCTTTGTGCTCTGGGTGAAAACAAGCAGGAATATGAAGAACAGCATGAAGATAATACATTTCTGTTTCAGCTGATAACGTTTCAGTTTGCAATCTGCAAAACAAACCATCAGTTATTGTTTAATTAAAGCTAAATTATCCAAAACTGTTTCCACTTTCCTGCCTAGTCTGAATAGTTTTTATCCTTAATATACTTATTGTGGATTGTTATTATTGTAGAAATGTTGACATGTCTCCAAGTGGCAGTGTGCCCAGCTCTGAGATTTTATCAAATTAATGGATGGCAGGAACATTATACTTTGATGTCAGTGCTGTTTGGTTTTGTTAATGATTCACAGCAGACTTAATTGAGTTATCCTGATGTTTGGACGATAACAGACAATACAGGCAGCACTTTGCTCAGGAGAGTGACGCACAAGACAGGAGCAACTGATACATGAAGAAATGTCACATTGTATAAATCTGGAGTCCACCACAAGACACATTTTGTTTAGAGTCTTTCAGTCTTTCTTGCTCCTACAGTAGGTGCAGGGGTCAAGGTACATTTACATGTCTCACCAGTGTCTTATAATCCTTAAATATACTTTTGGAGTCACAACCTAAAACCGTAATGGATAAAAATACCGATATTGATAATCATGACAAATCTCAATATGTCCCCAGTGTCTCGCTATACTGGACCCCCCTGATGTGACTGAAAGGCCTCATTCAATGAGATCCTGCCCTTTAGAAGTGACTAATGCGTTGTCAGGCTGGAAAACAAAGTCCTGGCGATCACAGTGAGTCTACCACAGGACCAGGCAGGACAGAAGATGTCCCTCCTGTGTGACTCTGCAGTGATCAGTTATAAAATGAAATTGGAGGGGTGATATTGTTGTGTGGAGTCATGTGACCTACCACAGAGCAAGCGGCAAAGATTCTCTGATTACGACTCACAAAAACTTTTGCATTAGATAAAAGGAGGTTTAGACGTGATCAATATTTCATCATGAACCAGACAAACGTGTCATTTCAGTTTGTCGAGAATATTCTCTGACCTTTTAGCTGGAGCTGCTTGAAATGCACCAATAAATGTGACAAAGAAAATAAAAGATTGATTGGTTTCTCCACAAAGTAAGGTAATAAAATTCAATACAACATTTTTGTGAACATCAAGGCATCTGCCAACATTAAAACAGAGACATACTCCAAAGTCGACGTCACCCTGTGGTGCCTCCTCCAGCAAAACAAATGAAGGGAGAAGTCATGAGACAGGGACAGTTTTGATGACCTTTAATGAAACACTCCAACTAGAAATGAGCAGAACAAAAGCATCAGCACAAACAACACTGTGCTTAATGCACTGAAACATCCTCCAATGGTAAAAGTGAAGGATGCCGGAGAAAGGCTCTCTACACCAAGAACACATTAATGGAGTTGGCCATTGTCCTGTTCCTCGAATTTCAAGTAATAGTCAGTGTTCTGTTTTGTAAACGTCTGCCTCTCAGTTGTCCACTATGACATCCTCCTCTTAAAGAATTATACCCAAGTCATTTCAATTTAGTTTCCATTAATGTATCTGTATGATCTGTCTTGTCGTTCTATGGCCTATGGCAATTTCCTCGTCACTTCTTCCTGATGTTCGATGAATTTTGAAAACTGATTCAGTCTCTAAAGCTTTGAAACACAAATGCAAGAAAAGTCATTTCCTATGACTGTACAAATGTGCTTCCTCATCTTCTTCAGGTCTGGTGGTGGAAAAATCTCCTGAGACTTTGTGTTTTTATTCTAGGAAGCAAAACCTTCTCTTCTGGACAGATCAGTGGTGGAACAACATAGCGCTGGGCCTGGGTGCAGACCATACTACTGGGCCCTCATCCTGTAATTCAGTTACTATAAAAGGGCAACTGATTGCTTATGCAAACAACAGACTATCAACCACCTTCTTACATATAGTCTGACTATAATCAATTAGAAAATAGCACATACTCACACAAGCACAAATTAACATTAATCAAACAAAAGGCTATGGACACTGTGGCAGATGCAACATGGATATAAATCAGTAATTAAACAGTCAATAGCTAAAAGTAATATTACACATGTAGATGTATAAGCAATATAATTAACAGCAAAATCAGTGCACTCCAATAATTATTATAGGCTGATTCAAAACAGTGAGTATGTGAATTCTGAACACTATCTGATGTAAACACACAAAGTTGTGTTACTACATTGTATCTTGCAATCAATCATCTTCCTTGGTATAGCCTCTGTAGAATCTATCAGAAAGTAGTGCAATACTCACACAAACAAAAATAACCAACAATAAATAGATAGGCTGTGACACTCCCATGGAAACGTACAGACATAAGCCAGCTTTGGCAATTCAGAATTCAACAGCAGAGTGAAGCACTGTCCTGTTACATTACACATACATGTAGCTGCATAAGCAAAACAAATACCATCACGAGTGCATTAACAATTACATTTCACCTTAATGGGTCTGTAACGCCTCCTAGTGCGTAAACACACCCAAAACTGTGCTGCTGCATCACTTTAACTTGCAACTCATCAGCAGCTAGAAAACAGTGACTGTACCCAGCTATTTGGATGACATTCTGCTGGCCTAGCGCTACACAAAGTTCTCTGTCATATGACTTGGTCAAATTTCTTGACTTTATAATGTTCAAATGTGGAAAAGTCTGGTCTACAGCTCGATGGTAATAAAGGATGGGCTGCTGTGCTGCTAACCAGGGTGCCCTCTTTTGCTTTTAGCTAATGTTAGGTCATCTGCCCGCATTTGCTGACAACAATACAGAGCAAACCAAAAAATAATTGAGTTTCTTTAGTTTTTAAACTTTATATTCCAAGTCTCGCTTCTCCTTTTGCTTTGAGCACCACTATTGCCTTTGAATGTCTGTGGCATTTTGAATGAATGCACTAAGCAGTTTCCCCAAAACTAAAAATCTACCTTAGTGAATGATGGGAGGGTGTGTTTGATTTAGGTAACTTGGTATGCTCCATGGGTGGTGCAAATGTAGCTATAAGCTATGAAGAGGTAAAATTACAATGACCTTTATGGTGGCATGTAATTAGTTCCTCAGTTTACTGAGCATTGCTATATGTTGTTAATTTACATTGTTGGAACATTCATGTTGTCGTGAGGGCCCGCCCAGGCCCCGAGATGGTGCAGGTCCAGGTGCAGCCACACTGCTTACACCCCCTGACACTACACCAGTAGGCTAGACCTCAGCACTCTTGAACATACCCACCACTGTACGTCAGTGAGTCTGCAAGTGTAGTGAAGTCTGGACATTTGAATTCAAACTTCTACCAACATGAAATTTTTTCCATATAAAATCAGTTACAGGTTTTTGGAAACTTGAATTGATCAATCAGCTTGTCTGACACAGGCACAAGACACAAAGCTTTGCATATGAGACCTTTCCTTTTGCACCACTCAACCCAAGCAGTGTCTAACATGCCTTGGACGGAGATTAGTTTAAAATGATGAGGCTGTTTACTCAAGGGAGCCACCCTGAAGGTTTACCTCTCT